AACAAAACCATTATACCCTGATTTCCCATTTTCAATGGGTTCAGGGTATAAAAAGATGCTAAGAAGCGTTGATTTGTACTTGTATAGATAGTCAAACACTCGAAAATTCAACTTTTAACTTTCATGGTGTGTTAGTAAGAACTTTCCATTTGAATTTCGGGACTCCCCTGAAACTACTATTACTATGCCTGGTTGCGTGTTACGCATAAAGCATTAGCACATTTTGATGCTCGCTTCCGTATGAATTACATTACAAATATGTAAAATATGAGCAGTTAAAATAAAGCACTTGATAGTTATAATTTTTGTTATGTTCTCTCAATATAATAATATTCTAGTTCTATATGTATAAAACACTGAGGCTTTGTTAAAATACATACATACATATGTATGTACAGGTATTTACAGTGAAGAATAATGAAAATTATTGCAGGTTAAACCATATATACATATATGTACATACATATGTATATTACATGCAGTATGTACATACATATATTCTTATCCAATACTTTCGGCTTTTGTTTAATTCAACCCAAAGCTGTTGTTTGCTCTGTGCCCACATATTTACACTATGAATAGAAGCAATACACAAATTTCTCTTTATGAAATGAAAGAGCAAAGCTTAGAATTAAGCTCTCTCTCAGTGCAGGACGATTTCTACTGAGTTGTTGGGCATGTATGTATGTTATTTTTTGCTAAGAGAGTATTTCGCAACATCTTCGGCACTTAGTCTTTTTTATGTTGGAATGTACTCTTTGAGATCTATGACGACGGCCACCGTTGCTGCAGTGTTGCTCGTGCTTCACAAAATGAGTATTCAAGGAGAGATGGACAGTTAGATGGCTGCTGCGGGCATTGTTGCTGCTGCTGTTGCTGCTGCTGCTGTTGCTGCTGTTGCTGCTGCTGCTGCTGCTGCTGCTGCTGCTGCTGCTGCTGCTGCTGCTGCTGCTACTCCTGCTTGTGCTGCTGATTGATTCTGTTCTTAGCCATGATGCTACCACAGCGGCTCCTATTAATGTTGTTGTATTGCTGTTATGGGCGCTGCTGATGCTGCTGCTGCTGTTACTGCTTGTACAAGAACTGTTTTGGGCTTATCATGAGTAAATCAGTTTATCTACTGTTAATGCTATAGACAGATGTGCGTGCTTTTCGTTCGATTTTATCATAAGTGTCATCTGAAAAGAAAAAATTAATAAAGTGAATACAATCTAAACGCCTCTTTAACGAAGAGCTACATGTGTAATATTCACATACACACATATGCACGCATATGCACAAAGGTATATACATATGAGATACAATAAACGCAATTCAATAACGGTAAGTTCCTAGTGCATAATCTATTATTTAAAGTCAATGGAATGATGTACCGATAGCACGCACACTTACACACATATATACCAAAAATATTTGTACAGATATGAACACATTTGTATTTATGTGCGCGCGGTGCATGTACAACACTTTACGCACAATTACATATGTAGCTGTGTATGTAAGCTGACATACATACAGGCATACATGTGTAGCTTAACACTCACACTGTAGCAGCTTCATTGCATAAATATTGAAGGAACCATGGAGGAACCATGGAGCAGAAAGTCAAATTCATATGTATTTTCTAATGTACATATGTACATACATATGTATATGCTTACAACTATACGGATGTATATACAAGAGTTGTCATATATATATATATATATATATATATATATATATAATATTATTATTTTAATTAGGACTGTCAATTGAGTTATCGCATGGAAAACAAGTCTTTTGTACATATATACATACATATATTACAATCCGCTTATAAGCCCAATGCACTGCATTCCAATGGGCCATATTATTTACATATATAAATGCGGCTCTGCGCATTGCCATCATCGATAGGACCATTCTTCCTTGGTACTTCTGGTAAAGTTCTTGCAACGAAGCTTTTTCTGGGTCGCAATTGTTATTTCCTTTTTTCCCCTTAACAGAGTAAAACACACACACAATGTACATATGTATGTGTGCTGACTCGCTGTAAGCTTATAGAAAGCATCCCCAACTGTAATGCTCTTTGACTCTCTCACTCTCTCAGTCATTCTCTCATGGGTTTGCTCTTAATAAGCGAAGAATTTTTCTGCAAATTGTTAACTCTTAAATCCGCAAATATAAGTACTAAGTAGGCATTAATTTGAATATCTCAACACTTCACTCTTCGATTGGGCGAAATATATCTAAATACATTAAATTATATAGGTACGTATAGATTAACGCGTATTTATACATGCAATCTAAATATTCATAAGTTTCCAACTGAAATTTACGCACACACACACACGCACGTTCATAACCAGGCGAATGCGCTTGGGAACCTTCAGAACGTAATCATAATGTTAATTTAAGAACATTCGAAAGCACAAGTCTCTAGTATTTGAAATGCGGTTTTTACAAATTTTGGGCGAAGGGGGCGTGTTATCCAAAATCTGTAAATTACGAAATGTTTGTATTCATCATATGTATGTATATACACGGTAAATCTGAAGTTTCTAGGTCTAATAGTGTTCGAATGAGGCTGAAATAACTAAATGAATTTTTCGATTAATCTCGATAAAAAAGTTATCGGATGAGTTATCGAGAAAAGAAAGCAAATTCGTAGTACGTATGATATAGATGAGTATGCACACAAAATTTATTTCTGAGATCGACGCACTCATGCAGACGGACGGACAGACGGACAGGGCTATATCGACTCAGCTCGTCGTCCTGATCAA